CTTGCCCTAGACTTTGCCCTTGTGGGTGGAGATGCTCTTACACACTGATAATACCCACCTTAGGCTAGGGCTTGGCTCCATGGGCCAGTAAATCTCAAATCTCAAAGCCAATCCAAAGGCAGATGGTTGGTTTGTAGGCGAGTTTGGTGAACCACCTAATCTTGTACCAGTTATGTTGAATGTATTAATTTTTGGTGCAAGTAACGATATCAAATGTGTTGCCAGAATCATTAAATTAACCAGAGAAAATCTATTGGTTCAGGTTAGATAAATTAGGGGTAAAATATCAAAAGACAAAAAAGAGAAAAATATTGCCAATTATTTGTTTTATTTTATGAAGTCCCTTTCAACCCCCTGGTGGACAATTTCAATTTTGGTGTACCAGTAATGGTTCTTTTATGATCCTTCTGACTGTTTTTAGATGTCATTAGGTGTAGAAAAACTTGTGTGAAACCGGGATAGCACTGTAATTGGCTGGGAAAGCAACACATTGATATTCCCATTTCACACAAGTGTTTCTCCATTCGGTGGGATTAGCCTGATATTGGGCATCCAATTAGGCTTCATTACAACTTTACTAGTGATGTGGGCTACAATGTTGTCAACATAATCATGTCCTTGTAGACACAGTTTGCTCAACATCAATTGCCAGGCACAATTTGAACAATTTGTTTTATGGGAGGATTCTACTTCAACTACTCCATTTCAACAATTTGCCAAAACCAACCACTAAATTTGCACATTCCAGTGTTTTTAGAGCAGAGTTGACAAGAAAACGCCAACACAACCTACCCTTCTTTTGTAAAATAGAAACTCCATGTTATCTTCTTCCTTTAACCGCAGGTCTTCTACCATCCAACTACTTTGATAAACAACCCTGCTCCCTTCTCTTCTCCTTACTGTATTGTTTGTTAGCTATATGGCCTTTTTTTTTTTTTTTGTCGAGCTGCTTTTCGGCTTGACTTGCTGTTATTTTAGATAAAGAAAGAAAAGAACTTTTCCTACTTCCAAGCATACATTTGTCTCCATCTGAACCGAAAGGTAAGAAAGGTAAGACAAGGACAAGTTCATCGTGCCTTCACCACCGAAATTTGCTTCTGATACTATAAAATAAACGTCAAGTACATAAAGCACCCCCAATAGATAGACACAAGTTAGCTGACCGATCCAATTCTAGTTAACCACGGAGATAGTGTCTACTTAATTAATAGTAATTGGTTGGTATGGGGGTTTTATCATTAAACCATTTGATTACAAATGAGGTGTATAGTATATTTCAATATCTTACTTGTTCAGAATAAATCAGTTCACACGAGTGAATTTAGCGTTGAAGAAATAAAACACATATATCATGTGAGAATGACCTTATTTATAGAAACTCGAACTTCCGTATTTAGTATTTATGACTTAAATGGGTATGAAATTTTATTTTATTTTATTTTTTATACAAGAGCTTTGACTTGCAGATCAGTGGTCTCAAGTTTAAAAATCCATAACATCTTGGTAGTGTGTGAGAGAGAAAACTCTCCCTCCCCCTTCTTAATTTTGACAAAATAAATAAATCAATCGATCAAACCTATACCTCGATTGTAAGGGTAAATTTTCTTAATCACTTGATCTACAAACCCCTTATATCAACATCATTTTTCAATTAAAGAATATCTTGGAGAATCGCATGCTTTCTTCCTTCAATTTATTTTAATATTATTATTTTGTTTTTCTTTGCTTCCTTTGGGTGTTTAGGAGGATCAATCATCATCATGACGACCAAAAACAAATTTGAGGATCAATGATGTGTCGTGTCTGACAAAAGCACACCAACAACGTGAAGATGCAGCCGCCCAATAAAATCATTTAAAAGATAGAATGCGCGTGCTGCTTGAGCTTTGGAGAATGGATTGATTTGGCATGGCATTCTCAATCTCAACCATGTATGATAATTTTGTCACTATAGACGTGACTTGGGCATTGGGCAAGCTAATGAACGAGTTTGACTTCATATATTAGTAGATCTGGCAATCTCTCCAGTATCCATGTCTTGTCGGCAAGGATAGGGACTCTAATTTTGATTCCCTGTAGGCTGAGTCATGCATGGTATGAATAATTTATCAATCTAATCCCTCTGTTTATAATTTTAGAATAATTTAATATGATTTAGGATTTTACGGGTTTCTACATGCCGAATATATCAGTTTATTTGAGTTGTTTTGATCATTCTGATTTGAATTCTTACGTATAAGGAGTCAAGTATTTTTCACATGTTGAATTCTGAATACAAAAGTTGCTAGATTAACGGTTTCAATTTTCAAAAAACAACGTGAAGTTAGGATATTATTTGAGCTGTTTGGAAATTTAATTTCTGAATTTTACTAATTGTCGGCTGCTTCTGTGCAATAAAATGGAGGATTATTCTTCTAGATTTCAAGGGATGATGGATAAAACGAAAATGTTATTGGGGTACATTGAAACAATGACATCTTATAAAATATTTTAGTTGTTGCTATGCAGATAAATGTTTAACCAAATATACTCTTATCAATGAAGACCTTTCAAAAGGAGAATTGTTGCGTTCTACAAATTAATGTATTAAATGATGATGATTCTCGCCTTCGTAGAACAACTTACAAACACCGAGTTTCATATCTAATCTCTGTGTGTTTGCGACAGTCGCGTGTTGAGTTTTATAGACATATGGGTATGAAATCCGTTATAAGTTAATGATGTATAACAGATGGCGGAAGCAATTGAAGAGGAGTTGGAGCGACGCGCGCGTAAAGGCAAATCGGGTAAACTGCATATGCGAGCTCAGAATTGGGCCCAGGACCCGTCAATTCGAAGAGAATGGCTCATGGCTTTGCCATGATGTATGTGCTTTTCGGGCATCCAAGATCGTTTATTAGCCCGAAATTCAGTTTTAAAGTTTTTACAATTTTTGAAAACTTTGTTATTTTCCTATTTTAATTCTTTTGTAATACCTAGGATTTCTAGGAGTATTCAAACAACTTTACCCGTAGTTAAGGTTATGTTTTGTTATTCAAGTTTATTAAATAAACCACACATGAGAAATTTATATCTGATTTTTTTATGAGGCAATTTGGTTGCCAAATAATAGCTCTTCGGCTTAGAGGACAGCGCCTACGAAGCTCTTCCCCTGATGCTTTAATACATGTTATGCATGGTGTGTCTTGGTTAAATTGCATCATGGTTCTCCAACATTAGGCTAGGCCATATATGGAATTATTTCGTTCCATCATCCCACTTTGGTATCCTAAATGTGAAATTTCTTTAGATAATACTTGTGTGAGTAACATATTTAAATTATTCTCGTAAGGCCCATTGGTTGGAAATTCTAGCCGACTGAAACATTTGTACCCAAAAAAACGAGCTCCAAAAATCTCCCGAAGAAAAACAGAGAATGATAAAATACTTAGAATGAGTAATGATGTTGAATATAAGTGAACTTGGATTCCATTTAAAATGTTATATTTATATCAGAATCACTATTATGTCTCATCTATTTCTATTATATGTATAGAACCCTTTGAAGCAATTGTAGTATTATACACAATTAGAAGCTCTTATTAATTTCATCTTTTTATTATAGAATGATAATTATATAGATTTTCATGTTTTGGCTCATTTTTTCAGAAAGAGTCATGCTTCTTGCTTGCGTGTTTTTTTTATATTACTGTATTACTCTTGACTACGTACTCAAAACGCAGACTTTACTCTTTTAGCGTTTTAAGCCATCCTATTTTCAAATATTTAATAGCAGTAATGTGTGTATAGAATATATATTATAAAAAAATTAGAAGCTCTTTTTAGTTTTTGGCATATGCAACTTTTTTGTTTTTCTTTTGCCTCTTGCCATATGTATGAATTATGATTTGTTATAAAATCTATATTAGTCCAAGTTTTGACCAACTCTTCCTAGAAATATTCATACTTGTTGTATATACTATCTGCACACATAATAAATTAAATTTTATAATATTCTTTTTAAAGCTACAAAATTAAACTTTTGTGATTTTATGTGTAGTTAACGAAGATCTATAAAATAAAAAAAACGAAGTAAAAAATCGCATTAGTCCCTTCAAGAAAAGATTTTACCTATGAGTATATTGTATAGTGATGGGATTCGCTTAAACAGTACGTTTCAATTCAACTATTTAGCTTAGCTACTTTCCGGTCATTTTCAAGTTTAAAAAAAATATATACAAAAGTTGATACATTAGGATGATTATGGTAAACGATATACAAAAGTTGTACACTTATCGCGCATGGATGAATTATTGAATGGTAATGTAATACGATGATGTGGTATAACTTGTTTACGTGTTATGAGATGAATGGACATGATTCATAGTTCCCACTTTTGGAGTATAATATCGATAAATATCCACTTATATTATAACATGTAAACAAATTATACCAGGTAATCATACTCTAATACCACACTATAATTATTCACGCATGAGGTTTCCTAAGGCAATTGCAAGATATGCTCCCTCCTTTGCTATGTTTCCTATAACCTAACTTAACATTACTTATTACATATAAAGATTCATTCCTCTTTAACTATGAACTATATAGCGTATGGTTATAATGAATCTTGAAAAGTTTGAAGGTAACCAAGATAAAGCAAAATGAATTGCTTCGTGAGCGTGGGCAATTTGGGAGTGAAATATCTAATGAAGATGAAATGATTATGGAAAAATCCATGGATTCTGGATATGATAGTAGGAGTGGGAGGGAATGAGAATGATCTGATATGATTAATTGCAAGTAGATAATATCACTCAAATTAAATAAAGTATAATTCCAATAGGGATCAAGTTATTTTATTAAATACTAAAGTGATTTATTTCTAAATATATTTAAATTAAACGATAAGAGAATTATTATGATTTAAAATCTAAATAAGAATAGGTAAACAATGTAAAAGACGAAACCAAGAATGATAAAGCACTAGGATACCAATTTCACCTAGTTAATCCCACCCAAATCCTTCTAGCTTGTTAAGTTGAGGACTTGAATCATTAAACAAGAAATTGAATATATTCAAGCATTCATTATCAAACATTAAAAAAAAAAAAACAATAATAATTGACGTGGCTGGTCTCCAAAAATAAAAAATGGGATGAAAACGAAGTGTATGGTAATAATGCCACTCAGAGGGTGGCTAAAATAGTAATTTCATTTATTACTTCCAAACTGTCAACCCCACTCCGCCCACTCCACACATTTCGTTCCAAAGATATCGGCCATTAATTAAGTTGCGAAACTAGTGGTGCTCGCGCGGTACAATCTGGATCATTCACGTGGCAGGAGATAATTGAGAGTGGCTAGAAAATATCAGCCTATCAGGGCCAACTTCATCTCGAAAAAATCAACATCGACGTGCCGCAGAAATTCCTAAAACTGATTGCCACATTACCAAATTGCCCCTCCAATATGCGCGCCTTTCTCGATCGACTTTTTCCCTATTACAAAACTAACCTCGATGTTTCTTATTTTCGGTCAATAATCTAACCTCACTCTTGTCCTCTTTTTTCCTTTCCTTTGGTGGATACTTGGAAGGTGAGGTTAGCAACATAAATTGGTTCGAAGAAAAAAAGAAAAAAAGATACTATCACAATTGAGTGAACAAAAAAAATTCTCGAATAACAAGTTGGACCAAATGAAAGAAGATACAATTACAAGACTTGGCCAGTTTGACATTGTTGTGCTATGAAAATAATCACTGTCAGATTTGTTGTGAGAAAAATCAGTTGTGAGAGAAAGTAGTTTGACGTTTGGTAAACTTTTTGTTAAAAGTGTTGTTGGTATTGATTCCCACATAATCAAAAAATGATTGTCGTATAATTATTAAACCCAGCACATCTTTGAAACTAATTCCTGCATAATCAGAAAATGAAAGCAACTTATTAGCTACTTTCCCTTATAATTTTCTCTCACAACAATTTTTAACAATAAGTGATTTTCTCATAGTTTATCAAACGGCTGGGCTTCCCAATTTTTTTTTAAAAATCACTTAGCACTCAAAATAAGTAATGCCAAACGGGCACATAAATATTTGTTTGGTATAGACTAATCTCAGGAACAGAGCTAGATAATAGGTTGTATGGACTACAGTCTATACCATCCCATTTTTTTAGATTAAATATAATCAAATATAAGCAATCAATGAGATTGGTTGAAATAATTAATGGGTTAAGTAACAAAAATAAAGAACAAATACAAGTGTTATATATCCACATAATACAATGATCCATTTGTTGAAACTATTGAAAAGAAAGTATTTCAATTTTGAAAACAATGCTAGATTAATGTTGTTTTTGTTGTTGTTGTTGTGAGTATAAAAAATTGAGGTAAGGAGTTTATACAAATATTCTTTTTATTTTTATTTTTATCAATACACAAATATTCATTAAGTGCCATAACCTCTAACCACTTAGGTGGAGGTGGAAGATATCAATAAATTGAGCTATACCCTACTAATAGATTAATTTGTTTTAAAATAAACACTTAGATGCAATGTGTTTGAAATAGTTAAGTTCAATATAATATTTGTCTTTGAAATAATTAGATTTAATGAATCATTTGAATTCAATGTATTTCTCTTTTTTTTTTCTTTAATGCAAGTATCAATACTTTTGTACTGCAATGGTCCAATCAAGTAATTTAATTATATAATTTTAATCATGCTTAATTTATGCATTTGTATATTTATTTTACAAGGAAATATTCTAAATGCTCTAATATATGGGAATAAGAGGACTCAAACTCAATTTCAAAGAGACAGTTACACTATCCTAACCAACTAACAAAACACACATATGTTGCATTTGCTTTCTCTTAGGTAAACTTTTGAGAAAATAAGGTCGTGATCCCAATTCCTTAGGCTTGAATTAGATGAGCTCGGTTGACACTTTTCACTCACAATTGCACTCAAGCTATATTGGTTGGATTCAACTTAAGCTCATATAAGTACATTGTATACATGAACACTAGAAATTGAAAGATGGTAATTATAATTTTTTTTTTTCCAGAAAACTATTATTTACAAGGCAAAAAGTAATTATATATTTATTAAGTACAATTTTCTTCTCATGTTTTTATAAAGGATGAGTGTATGATAACTTTTTAGAAGTGCCAATAATAGTTCGTATTGAAAGAAATCCTAAGTCGAATCCCTCTCCCAATGAAACAATAAAATTCATTAGTCTTTGCATTCAGTAATCAAATCTGGACCCCATAACATACAGGATTCCGATCCATAAAGGATTCAATTATACAAAAAGATATAGTCACACTAGCCTTTCACTGTTGTTCTCAAATGCAAGAGTTTGAATACTATTTTCAAAATACGAGGGCATTTAAGACAATTGCAAATATGTGAAAAAAGACTGCAAAGGGCAATTTTGGAATGTCGAAACCCAAGTTGGGCATAGTTGCCGCGTAAACGTTCGAAATTACCACTGACCACGGTCGACCACTATATATATATGCCGCCAAACCCCCTCCAACTGCCCACAGTTTTGCTTTCTCTCACTTTCTCATTCATTATCCTCCGAAACAAACAGTCTCCCAAGTTCTAGGCTGTCCAGAGATCCCGGTAGCTTATACCATCTTCAGCCGTCATGAAGAAGCCTGGTGTTTTAGCAGCCTCAGTCGCCGCCGCTTCTGCTACTGCTCTCTCTGCTTCTTCTTCTTCTTCCTCTTCTTCTTCAAGCTTTGTGTCTAATTCAACCATGCGATTTTCTAATCAGGTAATTAAAAAAACCTCAATTCGAATTCTGGGTTTTCTTGAGACGTTTGATTTTGTTCACACAGTGTTTAGCCCATATTGGCTGCTCCTATTTTTCTTGGGTTCTGCTCTGTTTGGTTGCTGAGAAAAAAAATAAGAAAAGAAAATCATTGAAATCTGGAATTTTGAGCAAAAAGAGAAACTCTCTAGCACCCAACTTCTACTTTTTTTTTTCTTTTTTTCCCCATGAAGTAAGAAACTGATCTGTTATGTTTGATTTTGTAGGAGACTGTCTCTTCTAAGAGAAATCAAGAAAATCCATCACCTTCCACAGAAAAATTTGCGCCGAGGTTCGATGGCTTGAGATTTATTGAAACCTTAGTCACTGCTCATAGATAATAAAATCTGGTCTCAACTCAAGCCTCACAGCTCCATCTTCTTAAATCTAAATATATTTTTGCCTATGATGATGTGATTTTGATCCATCTTCAGGAAACAACTTGAAGATAGGACTTTTAATTGTTTGGTAGATGAAATTTGTACTAGAAAGAGAGGAATTGTAACTTTAAGTTAAGGGCTAGCTTTCATGTGCAATTAATTTCTCTTCCCCTGTTTTCTGGTCTCCTTTCTTTCTATTACTAAATGTTGCCAGTAGACTCTTGACTGGATTGGATGCCAAAGTCATCTGGTATGGTGATTTGTTTCTTTCATAAAATCACATGTGACAGATGAAGTATGTAAATGAATTTATGGCTTTTTTTTTTGCCTTTTTCTAATTGTAACCGAGGAGAAAATTTTGTAAATCATGACAATCAAATTTCGGTACGAGTGATAAGAATTTCATATGGCGGTGTGTGATTAGACGTGAATAGCAAAATAATGCTATCCGACAGCCCTATTGCTCGACACAAGTACCATCCCGAAAGTAATGGGCTTCTTTGCTTAAGATATTATTGCCTATACTATAATAATATTCTCTTGACCACATAGATGTTACCTTATGATATATCCATATATGTTATATTGTCAGTTAGGACCACATATGCAAAATGGTTTAACTTTATCAAAGAAAATGATTCGATTAAATAAGGATTCACACACATACGCGTCAGCGTTTACATACCTCGGGTGTGAGATTTGGCCATTAATTCACATAAAAATCAACTTAATATACAGAGTCTAGATTTAGTCTAAGAATCATCTTATCTTGTCAGCCTCTTTGGTAGGATAATATTTTTTTTAATTTCATAGAATTGATTATTTAGAAGTGAATTCATTAACAATTACAGAAAGAAAGAATATTCTTAGTTTCACATTTGAAACTTTTGTGCTATGACATGCCTAGCACCAAAGATATGTCACTTCTCAAAAGCAAAGCTATAAAAACCCCTTTAAGATATTGGAGCTCAAGTTTGACTAGTGCATCACCAAAATTAAGCTTTAGGTGAGGAATTTGGCCTTTCACGTGCATCATGGAAATATTCCACACCCAACCACATCCTTCAACAACAACGATGCGTGGTCACCAAAGAAGATGTCAGAATGTTACAGCACTCGTTTTCTTCCATGATTGTGATATTTATTGGTTTTCTTTTGTGTGCTTCTTTGAGGAAGATAGTTTTCTCAAATGCCTAGCGTACTTTTATTGACTGCACCAAACTTTACTCTCTTTTTTTATCACCATTAAATTAAAATTGTTAGAACATGATGAACTTGTCAACTTACCATTTGAATAGCAGTGCTCATTTTAGAATATTCTTCTTGGGTCGAGTTTGGGCAAGTTTTGGGTTGTACCCTTCAAGTTGCATCTTTGCTCTCCACCCACAACATTATAGGCAAAGCCTAACATTCTCAATTTGAATTAAAGACCGCTTCAAGTAAAGTGGAGACTACATGTCATATTCCAAATAGTCATTCTCTATATGTTTGGGTACCGAGCTTCGATTTGGGCTCATGCTGTTTCAAAGAGAACACGACAATCAAACAAGACTCATCAACTGTTGTGACATATGGGTTTTTTTGGGCCAAATAATGAAGTTTACTGGGTCAAAATAGTTGAGATAGTATTTATTCCAACTTTAGTTTAGTGATTAGGGTGGTTATTCTTATTTTCATTATCAATGGACCTTGAGACTTTGAGATTTTCTCAATTCTCTTGTGGATTTTAATTATATATTTCTTAATTGGGTACCATTGGATGACCTTTATATTGTCACGTTGTGTGAGGTGACATTATATACTGTTAACTTAGGCAGTTGGAGTACCAGGCCATCTGATTGGAGGTTTGCAGCTACCACCATTTCAGAGTACATAGGCTTAGGTGCTAGAGTATGGATTATAAGTACGTTGGTAAACCTATAAGAAAATCTGAGATCTTAATTGGGTGTTTCATATACTATGAAGGCTATGCATCCCAGGAGAACAACAGATTGTACATCGGATGGAAACGAAGTCGTTTCATTTTGGCAGTGTGTGTGGTCCAGTAATGAACACACACTAACAAGCATACAATAAAGTTATACTATTTGGGCAGTTTTATATTTAGAGTACAACTTCAAGCTTACAAATTGGTGGGAGAAAGCAGGGAAAGTTAATTGAATTAATGGTTATAAGTTGGGTGGTGTTTTCCACACTTCACACCAGCTCAGAACATATTGAATGATAATACTAGGACTGCAGTGAGTGCTAGTATGATGGAGTGAGTAGCTGCTATCTGACCTCTACTCTTCTGAGGTTTTGGTGCCTCAGCGGGGCATGCGAGACCTTCTTTCCCTTCGCGACATTGAGACGCAAACAGGCCAGGAGGGTACTTCCCATAAATGTTTATGTAGCTGAACATGGTTGTAGCACAATCATTTTTCAAGTCATTAATAGCATCTGCAAAAGGGCAGGCAAAGTCCTTCAAGGCTTCGCAGCAGCTCTTGGCTGGGTAGTTGGGTCCTTTGCACATGCTTGTGATGATTGTGTAGTTCTGATTCTCAAAGTTCACAGGACAATCTGCAGATAACCCAAAAAGACAAGAGAAACAAGCAGGTGAGAGAATCTCAGAGCTAAGAGAATGCCGGTAAAACATAGCATGCTAGCTAGAGACACCAAATCAAAATCTAAAAAATATCAGGTTTTGGTTTCAACGAAGAACTATAGTCCTCTAGCAGTAATAATCCCTTTTTATCGTTCGACATTCCGAGGATTGTGGACATAGTAACAAATTTGGTATCCTCTAGCAGTACAATACATTATTTATGTAATAAAATGCAACTTCACAGGTTTGTATTGCCCTGTTATTGCCTAGTGGTGGCAATTATGAGAGGCAATACCCTCTCCATATCATCTGAGACATACTGGAACTTCTTCCCTAAACAATTGTCACAAAACCGATTCACAAGTTCGATATTCAAACTCGTTATTAATTTCAGTGAGATTTCCAAAATGATTGAACTGATACAGAAAAGAAAGCAATTCCTGTCCAACTAGGGCAGATAAAAGCTAGGATTCTGTCAGGTTGAGTCAATATACAACAATGAAGCAAGTCTCTTTACTGCAATTGTATTCAACTCCTTTATGTTTTATTTGTCTAGATGAATTATGTGTCATTATTTTGACTGCAACTCATTAAAAAGTACAAACAAGGCCACAAAACAGGAAGATTTACTCAGAGTTTGCTGCATATAGAAGACAATGTTTTGCTTTCTTTCTTGTCAGCCCAAAAATCTGTCGACTTTTCTTGGTGTGGGAGACCAACAATACCATTTTATACATAAAAAACTGCATGTTTGGTGAACATTGTGTACAGATTCTCAAACACATTTTCAGCCAGGGAATTTATGGGCATTGACAATTAATTATTTCAAAACTGAAAAATATGGAAACGGAAAATGCATAATTTAAAGGAGAAAGCAATGTGAAGAATTACTTTGTTTGGCCTGAAGAAGGGAACGTCCAATGGATCCACCAGACTGGAAAATATCATCTGCAACATTCATACGTAGATAAAATCAACGACCCAAGAAATTAAATTTCCAACCAAAAAGAAAAGAAAAAGGACATAAACAAATTAAATGGGAATTTGATGAATTACTGGAAAGGAAGGTGGCGGAGGAGGCGAAGCCCAAGAAGAGGAAGAAGAAGAAGAAGAGATGAAGACCGTGATTCGAAGCAGACGACATTGTATTGCTAAGGTTGTTTGGGGTTTAATTTGTGCAGAGACCGAACCACTTGTGTGATGTCGTCGATCTCTGTCTTCCAAGAGTTTGAGCTCAGCCCCTGTTTTTTGATGGCTTTGGTTACCTCTCTCTGTTTGTTGGGAGAGGGAGAGGAGAGAGAGAGAGAGAGAATTGGAGGGAGGAGAGCGAAACGCTGCATGAAATTTGGAGAAACGAAACGTTTTAGGTCTCTCCAAATTGCAAATTTTGCAATTGCCAAAAGTGGCAACTGTCGGTTTGATCTATGTTGTCCCAAAAAAGGTTATTTTTGTTTTTCTATCTTTAGTCCCAATTATTTATATATTTGAACACAATATAATAATCTCGCATAGCACATACACGATAAAATGCTGAAGTGTGAGATAAGTACATTCTAAGGTCAAACATCATTGTAGGGGAAAAAAAATATTTTATCAGCTAAAAGCATTTCCCTCATTCCCAACTCACCGATCTTCCCAAAATGACCCTAACCTTAATGCCTCAATTATACCAAAAATTACATTTTCATTTTTTATCTCCAAAAAATAGTTACAATCGTCCTTCAATTTGATATTGTGTTGAATCATGGATCCTTTCTGTTAAAATCAGAGATGAATAAGACTTTTACGCAGCCGCCACTCTCACCACCTCAGAGCTCCTCCCCTTCCACTCAAGTCACGGCTAACTCTCATATTTATCTATCTATCCTAGTCAGCCTGACACTATTTTCCCCTTGTCACCCTATGTTATACAGCCTGAAAATTGTCCCATGGGGGATGTCATTTGGGGTTTGTAATTCAAGATCAGTCTTTGGGTTATCATGAACTTTCTGAATTACCCAGATCTTAGCATGCTTTGCTATATGAAAGAATAGTGAGAGGGATTATTTTTTGACACAAATTGGTTGAAAAAATCTTAGCTATCATGCAATTAGAGAGACACACAAGAGGATATAAAACCGGTTACAAGGCAGATTCTCTCGCATTGGTGGGGCCCTCAAAGCTTAGCTGGCATGCCCTTTTTACTAAATAAATATTGTAAGAATTCTACCTGTCAAGATGTAGGGTAAGCAATGTACTGTCATTCTAGCTTCTAAGAGCACCTCACCGCAAGCGGCCAGCCCAGGTAGGAGGGGGCCCTAGGCCCGGGGAGCAGCTCCAGTGCGCCAAGCGCAGCCCGTGCTGTTGCCTTCGCGCAAGAAAATCAATATTTTTTTTTAATTGTTGCCAAAGGTTTTATAAAAAAAATTGATTTTCTGATCCACAACTGCCAGAAACCAATGACTACAAGCCACGTCCTGGATGATCCAAAAATCTTATCCAATCCAACAGCTATCCATTTTTTGGCTTAAAAAAATTGGAAAAAAAAAAATCAAAAAATTATGGAGTTTTTTTTTTTTTCCCTATAAATGCCTACCAATATTATTCATTTTCCACACCAAATCTTCATATAAATCCATCTCCTTCCAATATATTTCACTTTTAACACCAAATTTTCTACTACAAAATTCCATTTGTGTAAAAATACAATGGTCTCTTCCATCGAAACTGGAGGGTCATGGACAAATGTTCGAAGCGGTCAAAATCTTGGCGACTATGAGGATTGAGAGTTTTTTAATTGGCGACTATCAGGATCGGGAGTTTTTCAATTATATTTCTTGCATTTCCAATTTCAATTTTTTAATAGATTATTCAAGGCAAAACAAAAAAGATGAAAACCATTACACTTGACTCCTCAAGTGAACAATGCCTGCAGTCGGTTCCAGTGATGCATTTAATGTAAAAAACTATTACGTCCTCCAAAAGAAAATACTCCCCCACGTCGTGATCCGGTGGAACCACCTCCTCTAATGATTGAGTCATCCTTGTACTCGATTGTATCGGACTATGATGATCGGGAGTTTTTCAATTGTATGATGAGTGAGTAGATATTTCAATTGTATGATGAATGAGATGTGAATTTTATAATAAATATGGACACATGACAATTGAAAATCTTACCCGAAAATTGTATCTGAACTTTGAGATAAGAATTTTATAATAAATATGGACACGTGACAACCGAAAATCTTATCCTAAAATTTAATCTGAAAATCTTATCCAAAAATTTTATTTGAAATTTGAGATGAGAATTTTATACTAAATAGTTACACGTGGCAACCGAAAATCTTATCAAAATTAATGGTTTAAGTATAAAAAATAGAAAATAAATTAAAGTGAATAGTAATTGTCATTGCCTTTTGGGGTAGAAACAAAAAAGGCAAGGGCTGCCACTATTCACATGAATAGTGACAAACCTTGCCTTGCCCTTTGGGGTGGAGGTGCTCTAAGCTGCACTTCAATCGGCCACTTGAGCCATTTTAACCCCCAAGGATACCCAAAAAGAAATGGATACCAAAAGGGCAAGAAAAAAAAATGTCGATAGTAATGACTCATTAAAATGTGACACAATCCACAAATTCCATTTCATCAGTACACCATTAAACACATTCTGCGTGAAACGTGAGTGTCCGGTGCCTCAAAAACAGATTTTCTTCCTTCACTTGGTAACAATGTATTCTGAAGTATGCGGCTGACTAGCCTGAACAAAGGTCCAATATTTCATTAAGCAAGGAGTACTGAGAAATGCAACTAGTAATAACTTTTCCCAGAAACAAAGAAGAAAAAAGCTGTTAGTAAGTGTATCCAAAGAGGCAGCGCAACTGGAAAATAGAGGAGTTGTAGCCACACGCGTGTATTACTCGCTCTATTAGTGATTACCAAGTTTCGTTTGTGATGCGTTGTCAATCGATAAATGGAAACCTTATATAAAAGAGAAACAAGATGTAATCCATTTTACAAGATGGTTACTATGAGAGCAATCAATCATGAACATTAGGCAAGCACAGAAGGAGAGAAGAGAGGTTTTTTGGGCGGGGGGGTGTTATGGAGGGAGCAACAAACATGGGAAGTCAACAAAGAAATAATTGGAGTATCGACTATTATGATGCTAATCATAATCAAGTGAACCTGTATTGATTAATGGCATCCATGTGAACCAATCATTCATGGGAAGCAAATTCAACAGAATATAAACTAACAGGAGAAATATAGTGCATTCAGAAATAAGGTATTAAAGAATTCAGTGGAATTACCTCAACATTTAGAAATCTCTCCTGGTATCAGGTCAAACATTAAGTTTTCTTGGTTGGCTGTTAACAGATGCCGCTCATGTGTCTTACTTTACGAGTGATGGACCTGCCCATCCGAACTCTTCTAGTTGTCAGTGCTTCTAATAATATAACTAAAGTATCCTCTAGAGCCTCAGCCTGTTTCTCGAATCCAAAGGAGCTGAACTCCGGAAGAAGTTGCAGCTCAGAGAGGAGGCCAATAGCCGCTCCTGCTGTACAGGTACGATCCCATGATGGTTGAGGCCTGCCCTTAACAAAACACAATCAGTTAAAAACCAGATTAACAAAAGCCTCTGTATTAAAAACAAAACAAAACAAAAAAATTATAGTTCTTACCTTTCTTTTTTTTCCGAAATTATAGTTCTTACCTAAGTTTATGCATCGCAGATACACCAGTGGCCAGGGAAATACAAGGAAAGTCCGCCTCTCCCCAAACTGACGTTGCTTGATCCTGCACATAGAATCATGTGAAAAACTCCCAAAGAGAACTATAGGTTCTTTCGTTAAAATTTAATTTAATTGATTTGTTGTCAGCTAGGTTATCCCTAATTCATCTGATAGTTTCATACAAGTAATGCAAATTATCTGCATATATCATAGGCATCAAAGGTCTGAGCCGTTGACTCTATTGTCATGAATAGAAGAGAGACTATTACGGAATAATTTATTGGTAGAGGTCCATGGTTGATGGTTAAATATATTACATGAATTTATGTAAGAAATCTGCATTATGCATTTTGTAGGCAATAATAAAAACATGTAAGTAAGAAAAAACACAGAAACAAAGATAAGCCTGACAGTATTACCTTCAGACGACTGAATATCGAAACTGAATTGTTCCATGTTCCATCAATCAAAATGAAATTCAGGGTTCCATCTTCATTTGTCTGCGCATAGCCAAATTGAAATTTACCGCCATGTGCACTTGAAGAAGATATAAGAGATTTCTCATTAAGAAACCTGAAGCCTAATTATTACCTTTTCTAGTGTGATGATCTATTGACAAGGTTACTAAGAGACAACCAATATTTCTAATTAAACCACGGGTGAGTTTGGTAATGCTTTTGGGAATGCAAAAGCAATTTCAGATAACCACAAAAACAGCTTTTATAGTGCTTGACTGAAGTAGATAAAATTTCTTGACCAAGAAACAGAAGTAGATAAAAGTTTTTTTGGGGTTAGAGAAGCACTTCATAGGTGCTTTTGCAGGCAATGTTGTTGGATGAATAATGTAGGAAGCATATCATTGAAATTTTTTTACTAACAAAAAGAACACTAAGAAGAGCACTACCAGACATGGCGTAAAACAATAATACCTTAGTATCTGTGCATTCCAGATATGGCGACGGTTCTTGGCCAAAGACATCCTCAACCGATTTTAACGCTGCATTTTTGTTGGGATAAAGGCACCAAACATTGTTTTTTCCTGTATTTAATGTAAAATCCCAAACAGAAGTTAATGAGTCAAAAGGTTTAACTAACTGCTCAAATAACACTGACAACTTGAGTTCATCAATTTAGCTGGGTAGTAATTCTAATAGTTAAGTTTCAACATGCAAATACAGTATCTACTGCAAAAGCCAGTAGCTACAAACTACAAAACAAATAAAAAAAATAAAGCACCCATTTTATCGGAGTCAAAACTCACCCTGGAACCAAAGTATGTTTTTTAACAATAAGGAAAGAGTATCATGTTTCCCAAATAATAGTTTAATAATTCAAAGTAGCACTACAGTAATTACATTAAGCTGGTCAACTTGATATTTATAGGCACCATCAGTTTTGAAATTCTTTGAAAGAGGAAGAAAATTCAAATAGACCTGCTAGCTTCAATGCATTCCACATTATTTCTTCATGTTCTGAAATGCCAAAGAGGCACAAAGTTGCAGCCTCAGTGCCAAATACTTGCCATAGCAACTTTCCAGTGTTGTTCTG